GGTTCAGCCAAAATCACGCCGGCCGCCTTTGTATCCCTATATCTGTTGTTCATACGCTGCGCCGTGAGGTATTCACGGAAGGCCGAATCAGTGTAAGGTAGGCACCGGAGCGGGTTCCTATATGACGGTACGTTAGGAGGGCTGCTTCTTCCCTTCTTTCGTCTGGCGGGATGAGCAACGGTTACACGTTCATGTACATTGTCGTTGATACGATGTGGATGGATGCCAGGGTGTGGCGTTGTCGGTGTCGATGATATTGCCCCCGTGAATGGTCGAAGCGGACAGTTGTTGGTTTGACTTTGGTGTCCGCAAGTCACGACGTCGACAGTCTCTCCTCCTTTGCTACCGCGGCGGTGCAGGCGGCAGCGGCGGCCGCGTCTGCCACCACCAGGCGCTCGATGCAGCCAGAGGAGCACACGATGCGCTGCGCGTTAACGCACGTGCATCGTGCTGAATTCGTCGATGCAGACGCACTGCACACCACAACTTGGAACACTTGGTGATATTAGAACGGCACAATGCCCCTGAAACAAACGCCACTTTTTTTTCTTAGCATATTTGGAACTCGTATAACTTGTTACACGATTGAAAAATAATTTCTTTAAAGTAAGTTTTTTTTGTGTTCGTTTAGTTTGTTGCCTTTCCCTCGCACCTCCTATTCGCACGGTTGGCTACGTACGGTGCAAAGAAGTTCAACATCCATACAGGAGATCGTTTCATTATCCGGCAGCTTCGACGGGAATGGGGCGCCGGATTTTCAAAACGCCGGATCACATGTTTTTTAAATTGCTTATTTTTGCACTATTCTTGTATATCGTTATGTTTATAGGTGGTGTGTGTAGATATATTTGCGTTTTACATTTTTACTACATGAAATTGGTATAAACATAGACAATAAGTCTCCGCCTGTAAAAAGTTACCCTATTTAATGTACCTTGCCACTCCAATATCTGAGACTGTGCATATAGGCTAACGTAGTACTATATACTACTACGCTCTTGTTTCAACAACTTGATGTGTTTGACGATCGCCAGACTCATGCAATCGCCGAATTACACGCACCTTTTTGCCGGATATCACTGTGTATATTTTAAGTTTGTATTACTGTTTTTATTAGTTATTAAAATGTATATAGTGCAATATTTCCATTATTTAATGTTTGTATGTAGTGTATAATGTACGGTATATATATTTTACACTGAAATCAAGCTGAGCCACGTATTTTTTGTCACGCACACGGTGCCCGCACAGGTACAGCCTTTGAAGCGGTTTTGCCAGATCGGCCCGGGACCGCCAGATAATTTTGAAAGCCGGATAATCGCGTGCCGGATAATCGACGATCAACTGTACGTAACATCTTCGACATTTATGGGAGTCGCATTGATATTTGTGCATTTACTGTTTATAAAGTCACGATTCTTATTCACGAACTTACATCAATGTGGAAGCATAGCCTGAATTTCATCAGGGTAAAAACAATATTAATTAGTATTCCATCGCAATTTTCCACATCGAAGTAGACATGAAAATCTGCCGGGATCAGAACCAGACCGTAAGATGGACGATGTCTCGCAGCCCATCCGCTGTGCGGCTTTGAGCTGCTCGTTGTGCCGAGGCACGGCTCGGCCGCTACTGCACGGCATTTCGGATCTTGTCCACGTGTTCGACATTTGTATTAAAATCTAAATAGTGGAGTTATCTCGAAGATAGCACACGCATGCCTGTGAGGCACGGGCGCTTACCACTAGGTGGCGACATCCGGGCCCGCAGCCGTGAATGCTTCACAGAATCGGGATGGTTAAATCTAACATTGAAGTCGATTCCGGAATCTAAAAATAATCAACACCAATGGGGACTAGGCTCTAAAGAAAGCCGTCTCGGGTGTGGACCAATCAACTTCAAGGACAGTGCATATTATTATCATTATCAGAGTTGCTTCTTTTTGTTTGCTTTTTTGACTACTTGTGTTGTGGTTATTGCAAACATGATGCCTTGAATAAAGGTGTCAGTTTTGTACCAGTTTAAAAGGGTAAAAACCTACTACTATATTTTGCCACTGGTAAAAGAGATCTCATAGTGAATGATCAAGGAGTTGTAGCAAAGATTCTCATTTAGATTCTGATGCTAACCCCACCCCCCCCCCAAAAAAAACTGTTCTTACAAACCATTTGTTTAACGTTAACAATTTAAGAATTAACTTATAAAAGGAACTATAAACAGAATAATAATTTACTGATATATGTTGTGGTACCTGAATATGAAAATAAGTTTTTTAGGATACCTGCATATACAGGGAGTCCCCGATATACGTTGGGGTTAGGGACCAGAAAATTGCGACGTAAAATGAAACGATGTACAACGGGGATGTTCCCCCCCCCCCCAGAATAGCAACCAAATATGCACTGCACATGGCCACGACCTGTCCTACACGACAAAACACAATGCATACATTTATAACCAGTTCTCATTTGAAAAACCTTCAAACAAAATTTATACTTATCAAAAACTTAATTGAAAACCATTTTAATGAGCATTTCGAAGCAGCGCTGTACAATTAAATTTTTTTATATATATATAAAACACGTATTTGTGACATTTTAAATCAACGACTCAAAACAGATAAAAACGGTGTAAAACACACAGAATCTTAAACAGCGTTTAAAAAAGATTTTACCTTTACGCAAAAATTTACAAGATCTTATCTTTAGGGGGCGGATGAGTTGTGTTGAGGGGTTGCGAGGAGATTTTGCGATCAAGTCCACGCCGATTACAACGAGTGCTCGATACCAGAACCGGCCCTAAACCTTTGGGGGCCCTAAGAAAAATTTGGTTGGAGGCCCCTTTGATGTATGATTTTTTTCACCCACTAGCTCGCAGTGACTCTAGGGGGCCCTCTGCTGGCCACGGGGCCCTTTGCAATTGCAAGGGTCGCTTAGTGACTGGGCCGGCTCTGCTCGATACGCACGTGAGAGGAGAGCACGATGGGACTGAGACATGCGAGTTGCACAGTACACATCTCCCCAGAGCCGAGTCAAAAAACGATTATCGAAGACGATAATCACCACCGGTGTTGGCCGTGAGCGGGAATCTAAAATCGGGTCGCTGGGCTCGTAGCGCAGCGTAGCGCTAGTCGCTACGCACCCACGCACGGTGTTTTCGACTTGGCTCGGGTGAACCGAGTCGAAAAAACAAATACTATCAATAATTTAGCAACACGAACTCGATTCACACTAACCACCTCGCATCGACAGTAAGTTGTCCTTCGGATGGAGTACTTGTCTTATGTACAAGAAGAGAGTCACGATGACATGGTTGTTGGCCTTCAGTTGTGAGCATCTCTGTGAAATAAGCTCCAGATATGAAGATCACCCTCCTCCCACTCGGCACTGTCGCTGATTGCCCACTGCTACACAGCAGCCTTGGGAAACAGTGTCATATTACTATCATGCATGGCCTCCTGCTAGTCTGTATGTGTATATGTATGCACGTTGAACTTCTTTCGCACCGTACGTAGCTAACCATGCTAATCGGAGGTGCGGAAGGACAAAAAACGAATCACAAAACGCAGTTCTAAAGAAATTCGTTTTCAATAGAGATTTAAACGCCTATAGCTCCAGTGGCTTGCTAATATCGGAACAGCGTTCCAGACGGCCACAGAAGCGCATCTGAAAGCGCGCGATGCAGTACCCAAAACAGGCATTGCAGCTGTACGAGCCACAGTTCTACAACTCATCTATTTCCCCTCTGCATTAGGTGGTGGTATGATTCCAACCCCAGCTGCAAGCCATGATGGCAATCTCACTTGCAACTTGTTTCAGCTAGCCACCGTGGGTTCGAATGGGGTCCAAGGTGGACACCGACAACCTCAGTGGAAGAATGGTAGGTGCATTTTACAGATGGAAAGCCGATGGTTAGTGGTAGATCAGCTCCATGGTAGGTCCTGGTGTCAAGGACATGGGCCCGCGTCCGCTATTCCATCACTTTTTGTTTTTTGTTTGTTTCGGTTGCACCCGATTCAAGAGCCGGATGGCTCACAGGGCTATACCTAATAAATGAACTTCAAACTTTATAGTCCTTGCTTGGATCCGACGTTCATCTATGATGTTTTGTGGATGCGCCAATGTCAGAACAGTGTAGGTAATTACAAGCACATGGGCTGCACATCAGTCTAGTAGTATCCTGCTGTTGTTATTGAGCTGAACTGGTCCATGCCTTCCAATCACTTTAGCCCAGCTGCCTGCATTATGATCCACTCGGGCATTAAAGTCACCCAGTCTATGCCGAGGGGACGATTTGGCCAGCTGCTGTGACAGGTCATAGAAGGCATCTGATTCATCGGCCTTGCCTGCAACCCTCCACTGATGTTCATCTTTGGTGGGGGCATAAGTCACCAGCACCACCATTCCTTGCCTCCCGTTTATGTGGAGGCGAGCCCACAGTCGCCTGGGACTTAGAGTTTCCCACACCTCACAGCCACGTTCCCACGATCCCTTCGTTCTTTAATTTAGAAAAAGAGGCACTCCCAATAGAGGACTGTCCACCCCTCATAGGGACTGGAGCCAGAAACAGTCCACCGGACCTCCTGAATACCACAGAGATCCAGGCGGTACTGATCCAGCTCCCGACAGAGGATTGGCAGCCTCTCCTCTGCGGTGAGCCACTTCTGGAGGAACCCTGGGGATGTGGGTTCAGTCTCCTAGCTCCAAATGGGATTTTGCTAGGATATATCATAAATGCCTGTCCCGCAGGGGCCTCCGGCACCAGCTTAGTTTGATATTTTTCACGTGTTGCTGTTGTTGTGGCTGCGAGCACCATGAGGGGACAGCTGATTGGAATCGGCCCTTCTATAGCATTGCTTACAACCATGACAGCACTACCATCCGGCACCACACCACACACCCACCCACCACACGTCCCCACTCCACCCCCACCCCTCCACCAACACCGCACACCTTACCCCCACCTCACAATTACACCCCAACCCCACACCCCCCCCCCTCTACTCCAGAACCAGGTCACGAGGAGTCTCCTGGGTGTGTTCATTCCTGTGTCCAGCAAACACGTTTGGACGTTGTCCACACGTCCCACCTTTACCCCTCATGAAAATTAGTCAAGAATCATTAAGCCTTTCCTCGCTATATAATTTTACATAGTGTCATTAACCTTGCTTGCAGATGTGGTTCAGGAAGACGTTGACCTGGTTGCTGACGATAACGCTGTTTGGGTGAAGCTGGTAAGAATCCACCGATGCCGTCATGTCCCATGCATCTACGAAAGCCACGCCTTTGATGTCTTGGAATGCGGCCCTCAGGGCCTCATTAAACTTGAACAGAAACCAGTTACTGAAGCGTGAATAATCGAGGATGAGCTCTCGTGTGCTCACCAGCCTGATCACCACAGCCGTTTTGGGGCTGCGCTTGAGCAGCCTGATCACGGCCTCGCGGATGTTGAAGATTCGCGCCAGGAAGACGCGCAGCGGGAATGGTGTAAAGTGGGGACCCAGCGCCAGGGCCACCACCGTGTCGTGCCCACCACGCAGGTTGTCGATGGCATTGGCGCACGGAGTGAAGTCGACAGCGCGCTGCAGCTTGGCGCAGATGAAGGGGTATGCATGCGGGAAGTACCTCATGGTGATCTTGTTGTACGTGTCAATGGCGTGGAAGGGCCTGTGTATCTCTTGTATGTGCAGATCTATTTTCTTGAACGCTAACAGGGGAGTGGGGTGCCAGGGGCAAAAGAGAGAGAGAGAGCCCGAGGGAGGCAAGAAGCTGAGAGAGGGTGGGGTGGAGTCAACACAGACATCCTCGCTATCAAATCACGACCGAGGATTTCATCCGTTACTCGAGCTGTCAATGGATGATAAAAACGCATAAAAATACATATTCACTGACCAATCAATATCTCTGCCACGTTATTCATTGCACCACTTGATCAATCATTGCATGAGCTGCAGCTTTCATGCGTAGTGCAATGCTCAACCTACTGGGGACCATGGCGGTCAAGTGGTTCCACCATTGGACGATGGTGGAGTCTCCGAAGAACAAGACCTGTCTTCCCCGCAGGCAGGCGATCACGTCCCGGCGACTGAACCTCTTCAGTGTGTACCCCAGCGGGTTCCACTCATTTCTGAAGTAGTGGCCAGAGGGCTGAAGCGACATCACGGGTTCACACCGAGGCTGGGACGGGATCACCCTATCTGCACGCAACAACACAAGCAAGGAGGCCTCTTGTCAATCCCAGTGCTATGTCCGACCTAATCCACAGAGCTATGCTTCCATGGGATAACTGGGCCGAAAGACATCCGCAACAATTGTAGTCACCACAGATTTTTTTTTAGGGCATCATTGCTTTCTAGTTACGACCCACAGAGAGATGACTTACCATGTTTGGTCGCAGGTAAATATGCACGTCATCGACTTACGAACATGTTACGTTTTTGAGACCCATTTGTAACTCGATTTGTTTATATCTCAGAACTCAACATGTAATTGTATGTACTGTACATACTGTACGTAACATGTGCTATGGTTCAACAAAAAAGGGAAGCAATGTTAAACTCCATCGAATATTGTACATTTGCGTGTCATATTGTAATAAATACTGTCTAGTAAATACAATCGGGTTTACTTTCACTTACCTTGAATCCTTTCTTGTCGGAAGGGGCATGCATCATGCGAGATGCTAGCAATCATTACATCTGACAGAAGATCGCTCCGCTGAACAAAATAGATCTGCGTTTCAGCTCGTAGTTACAACCGGACGAATGTGCACTTTTAAGGCCACGTGAAGTATCGAACATACATTCGCTGGCAGGTCACGGAACAGACCCAGGTACATTGGGTCGACTGAGATGACTGACAGATGCATCACCTGTGGCACCTACTGTGCCAACTTGCTGTGTTTTAGCTGCTCGGTGCTCTGCTCTTTGTTGTAAGCGTCACTTCTCTGACCTCTGCTGTTATTGGAAGGTGATTGCCTCAAACTTCCCACAAGGCTCTTCCACACAAGAGACACCAATTTTGACACCGCTGGTACCAGTCATTGGCAAGTTCACTTAGATCCATATCCTATTGTACCACATCATTCCATCTCTTTCTAGCCTGTGCCAAGCCCGTTTAACTCTCTCTATCCAGCTGAACAAAAACTGCTTTGGGCACGCGGTGGCTGGGCACGTGGGCTAAATATCCCAGTCAACGCAGCCTTCCCTGCCAGAGCAAAGGCTGCGTTGGCGCGGCTGCATTGGCTCGGCTGGCAACTCCCCCAACTTCTGTCTGTCTTGTGCAGTTTTTGTCCGGTGTTTACCAGCTTGTCAGACAACATCACATTTGTCATCCAATTGATCTTGGGTCATTTTCTCTTTTTTCATGTCCTGGAAGATGACCTTGCATAGTTCCATTATTTGTCACATGACCAAACCGTTGAAGATTCCAGTGATTTAGACAGAACTATTGCATGATGATGATTTATATTTCTAAATACAGTTGACCATCGATTATCTGGTGTGCGATTATCCGGCTTTCAATATTATCCAACGGTCCGATCTGGCGAAACCGGAAAAACCGCTCCAAAGGCTGTACCTGTCCGGCGATTGGCACCATGTGCGTGACAAAAAAAAGTAGCTATGCTTAATTTCAGTGTCAAATACAGTGATACCTCGGTTCACGAACGCTTCGGTTCACGAACAACTCGGTTCACGAACAGAAAATTTCATAAAAATATGCTCCGGTTCACGAACTTCCGCTTCGGTTCACGAACAGGAGCCGCGGCCATTTTAATGCTATTTCCAGGCTGTCACATGGTCGTGACTTCCTGTAGGAAGATCGTGGAGAGAAGCAGAGACACAGAAAGAAGTACTGTGAGTACTGTGAAGACACTTTCAGTAACTTTTTGATTTTTGGTGTGCTTTTTAGCACATACAGTACTGTACTGTACTACTGTACTGTACAATACTGTACTTACTGTATTGTACAGTTCACCCGTTTGAGTGCTTACTGTCTCCCACCCGCCTCCCACCTGCCTTCTTCCATGCCAGAAGTCATCTCAAGCAAGGTTAGTGTTCTCTCTTTATACATTACTATACTGTACAGTACTACAGTAATGTGTATTGTCATTTGTTTCATATTTTTGTGCTTCAAAAACCAAAAAAAAAGGTCAGAACGGATTAACCGGATTTACATTGAACCCTATGGGAAAAAGTGCCTCGGTTCACGACCAATTCGGTTCACGACCAGAGTCAATTCACGAATTAAGTTCGTGAACCGAGGTATCACTGTATTGTATATATATATATTACATTATACACTACATACAGCTTAAACAATGAAAATACTACAGGTATATACATTTCTCATAACTAATAACTACAGTATTAAAAACTGAAAATATACAGTGCAATCCGGCGAGAAGTGCGTGTAATTCGGCGTTTGCCGGAGCACCGGTCTAAAGGCTTAAATCAGTTTGGCGATTGTCAAACACGTTGTTAAAGCAAGAGCGTACGTACATAACTCTATGCAGAGTCTTAGAGATTGGAGTGGAATGGTATAGTAAATACGGCAACTTTTTACAGGGTATTTGTCATTTGCATGTTTACTTATGACAATTTCATATAGTAAACACATTTTAAAAAACGTATACATAAAACCCCAAAACATGTTGTACAAGAGTGTGCAATAATAAGCTATTTGAATAATGATGTGGTTATCCGGCGTTTTGGAAAATCCGGTGCGCCCTTCCCCACGAAGATGCTAGCTAATCGATGATCTGCTATATGGTAAATAATATTAACATACCACTTTATTCTCAGAATGACATTGTTATCATTATTTTATCTAAAAAGTGTTTTACGTATTAAAACAAATCATATTGTAATGGGTCACTGTTAGATATAAAGGAGAGAACAGACAAAAACAAGTTAACAAGCAAGAAGCAAGAGCACATTTATATGGCTTCTGAAAGAGGAACAGACAGTGGAGTGGAGGTTGTGAGAAAATTTGCATGGGGATGTAGCCACAATTAGTTGTTACCATTACTTTCGACAACAATCTGCGACTGCCCATTTGCCTTCAAAGGTTCTTGAGCTTTTTCACTGAAATACAGGATAATTAAAAAGGGTCATCAGCACAAGAGAGGCCAAAGTGGTTCCAATTCCTTAACATGGCAAATGCACATCTCTCACCTGAAGACGAGCTATTGTTTTTTATTTACGTGACTTGACCGAAGGACCCAAGAGTATGGCAAATACACTTAAACCATATTTTACCTCTACACATCGTTTCAAGATGGCTGCCAAAGATGGCTTATCTTCAACATGTTGCTATCCCATCTCCTTGTACTCCCCTTTACTTGAAGGAGCTTGTGCACTTCGAATGCAACAATGCCAAATCTTTAAACTTTCCATAATCCTCAATCTTGCCTCTCTGCCACTGTTTTTCCTGAATGTTTTTTTCTAGTTTTGACTGCCAACTACTTGCCCCAAGGTCTCGGTGCCCCCTGACCTCTTCAGTGATGGGCAACAATACTCCCACAACCCTTTAATCTCATCAACGGTCCTTTAATGGCCTCAGTATCCTTGACGTCATTAGTGCCAGGCTCTAATGGCCTTGGCAGCACTTCATCTCTGATGGCGTTAGGCTCTTCATCCATTACCAGCTCATAGCAGGTTCAATGTCTCTGAACCCGCATCAGTGCCAAACCCCACCGATCCTATCTGCCTTGGGCCTAGTAAATGCACGGCTTTCCTGGTGCTGGGCCCCCTCAGTTCATTGTTGTCAGCTGACATTGGTGATACGGAGCCCAAGCAGGCGTGCCACCCAACCTAAGTTCCGACTTCACCCTGCTAACCTTCTCGCTGCACTGGCCAGAATGGCCTAGTTCTTGGACCCTGGCCCTCTGCCTGGCTCTGTGCCTCAAAGTTCTCGATGGAACATTGTTTCTGATTAGCTAAATATGCACACGTTATAAATTGTTTATTCATTTTTTAAAATTATAAATGTCTCCTCTCACTTATCCACACATCTTGATACGTGGGGATGTGTAATATAGATATTTTTCAGCGGTGGTAGAAATCACTGCCATGCAAATTTAGGCTCCGATGTAAAACTACGAGACAATCTTACGTGACATCATCATCATCATCAATAGTTGGCCATTGAACATCACTATTATGCTTGTAACAAAAATAAGTATACATATATGTGCTTTAAAATATATATGAAAATTAAAATCCTAGAAAATAAATCATTCATCTTATTGTCATCATTTGCTTCACCTTTCAAAAAGCTCCTGGTACTCATCTCCCCAAGGGATTGCCTCGTAGTTGTAAGAATGTAAGTGTTGAAGAGACTTGCACAGGGATGTATTTGGTTTGATGCACAACCAGGGTTCGCACAGCTTGGAGTCGGTCAGGTTGCAAATGTTTCCATCTCCTTCGGCATCAGCTACAACACCACCTGGAACAATTACAGCCATTCATCACAAAGTAACGGTGTTTGTGCTAGCTAAAGTGCACTTTGAGGCAAATTGAAGCGTTGAAAGCTTATTGGCAGGTCATGGGACAGTCCCAGGTTTTATGGGCTAACTGACTGGGGTGACTGCCACCTACATTACCCACTAAACTATATTGCTGTGTTTTAGTGGTCCCGGCTCTGTTCATTGTTGCACGCATCAATTATCTATCTTTCGTTGCTAAAAGGTGGTTGGCTCAAACTGCCCAGGAGGTTGGTATTTATACTGCTGGTACTAGTTCACAGCAAGTCCATCAGCTCAAAGTCCTCCTGCATTACATCTGCCTGAATGTGTGCCTGTTTCTCTCCTGCTCCACCACCATGATCTGCATCACCTGTAACATCATTGCCATCTATGACTACAACATTATCATCTAGATCTTCACCAACACCAAAATGCCATGACAAGCTTTCTCAACTGCACCTGTATGAGACATCACCGGCATATTCCAATCCCTCGTCCTCCTGATCACCCCTACCCATCTCTCACCTCTCATCTCATGCTATGCTCCTTTACGTGATGGTCAAGCAACCAAGGCCTTCTGCCAAAGCCCCAAGTCAACGAAGATGCCATTTTTTTGTCATATTTGAATTTTTCTGTAATTTTCTAAATATTATTATAATTCTATCAGTGTCATGTAATGAGATAAAGTACATATGAAAATTATCTCAGAGCAGTATAATTCCATTTCAGAGAACTATCTGCATAAGGTGATATCACAAATCTACTTCTGACCTCTTTAATTGACCTTTTTTACTCACACATGAAGGGCCACACTTTTATGTTACGGAGGCCAAATTAAGTGAAAACTAAATACCACGTGTTTTTTGCACCGTTATTGGTGACTGGGCTAAAACCATCTATTCACTGCAATTGAGAAGCCAGATTGGCACTCAACACCGCTGCACAACCGCATCATGATTATCATCACTCCAGCGACTTTTACTGGACACATTGTTAAATAGTGCACTGCCATCGCCTCTACCCTTACTGATGTTGCTGAGGTTTAAGTTCTCCACGCTGGTCATGTAGCAACTGGTGGTCTCGGGTGACTCGGGTGTCTCGCGGAACACGGCCTGGAAGGCTATCTTCTCTGGAAAATTCTCGCGCACGTAGTTCAGGGCGTTGACCGCCTCTCTTGAGTGTAGCAGCCGCACGGCGATGGTCGCATTGCCAGTCCAGAGCAGTGGAAAACTCAGCTGGTAGGAGCCGTTGCCGACGTCGTGAACGCTCGCCGACACGGCCGCGCCAAGCTTACTGTTGAAAAGCCTCCCCACAATAAAGTCGCCGCCACGGAGCTTGGGCTTGCCATGCGCGTCCCGCATGAACACAGAGACTGTCAAGTAGCCCCCGCGATGAAACACATTGTTTGCATCCACCACCTGAAAGAAGCTGCTCGACCGGTGACTGCACGTCAAATTGCGCCACCTCTCTTTCTTCTCCGACGTCAAGGGAGGTTGCCCAGACGTTAGCTTGACGTAGGTTGTATTGATCCAAGTCTCTCTTGCGACGTTTCTAACGCAGAAAGAGCCGTCATTGCTTATGGTGGCAGGTGGATCAGATGTAGGTACAATGGAGTCCTGGTTCGGTCGTGCGATTCGGAAGCGGTTGGAATTTAGTTGTGAACAATTCTGAGAAAAAAATGTAAAACACCTTTAGCTTCGCATGCATGTCTTTTTGCATAATGAGCTCAGCGACCTTCGTTTGACCCATCAGCCGCATAGGTATAAAAGTTATGCCTTTAATAATGCATGAAATAATGAATTAAATTGCGCGGATTTTTTTATGCATGATACATGTCGTAAATTACGTGTTAAAACCGTGGGCAAATGGTGGTAATGTCGTATGAACGTCGCTGAAAATATTGCTTGATTAAGCAGAGGCGCAACAATTTGTAAGTAATGTTGCCTGCGGTTCCGACCACCGACTGAATTGTTGTTCTTGCACGAGCAAAACCCACTCTAAATATCAACCTTGTAATGTGGAAAGTCTTGAGCCCCGATTCAAACGAAGACAGGGATTGTGTGTGTTATGTGTGCACACATAGAGCAGTGTTATAAATTGTTAGAGACCTTGTGCGTGTTAGAGACCCAGCGCACCAATTAAAATTAAAGAGCATCATGAAGATCAAGACACCTATACACAAGGTCTACATTTGAATTGGTGCACTCTAGGCCATGTGAGATGTGTTTAACAATCATCAGGCACGTTTAGGATGGAATCACTTGATATGTGTTTGAAAGGAGGTAATCTGGTAAAATGTCAAGGACCGTTCATGGTGGTGGGTCACGAGGAATGGAGTTTAGGAACCCTGTCCATGGAGTTTCACATGGATAAAGAGGATAATGAGCAATTAAAGCAGTTACCTGACTGGATTTTGCAGGATACCGACCAAACCCTGCTTTCAATATGAACGTCGATATCACTATGATTACAAATGCAAACAGTACAAGCCATACAAGCTGTACAAACAATACATGCACCGGTCTGTTCCTTTGTTGTTGCATTGACACCGATTCCATTGCCTGCAAGAGAACACATTGCAATTGTGAAAACCTGCAAAACAGAACGCAGCGTATGACCGTAAATGTGGGTTTTCACTCAACTTGGCTAAATTGTAGGGTTGACCATCACATAAGGATGTCTGTAGGTATAAAAAGATAACTAGAAGGGATGCATACTAAAATAATATTTTATTATTTTTCTATCTACGCGACTTTACCGAAAGACCCAAAGAGTATGAATTCCTGCAGTCACGAAAGCTTTAAGTCAAGATTTACACTAGTTATATGTATTGAGAGGAGTCCTCCATGTGTTTTTCATCTCTAACTTAGTTTTACACCTTTGAATCCACAGGCCGGAGCAGAAATTTGTACCAGCCGAGGCGGCGCAACTGTAGAAGCGATAACTTCTGTAAAAAAAAGCAACAAGTGAATCACAGTGACTTAGATAATTGCACCAGCACTAAGGACGCATGTTGGTACACATACACACTACTAACCTACACTGACCAGTGTTCAGAGGCCCTCATTCAAACATTTATCATACACGTGCAAGCCCTGGGTAAATGTATAAACGGTAAAAGCAAAGTGGAAATGCAATCGCCTGCCATAATCAATCAACTACTGGGTGGAATTTTGATTTAAAGCTTTCGTGACTGCAGGGATTCATATTCTTGGTTCTTTCGGTAAAGTCACGTAAGAAGGGAAATAATAAAATAATACACATACAAAACAATAAAAATTCTAAAACAAAACTAAACAATCCACACCACAAATACGCAACCTTAATATGGTTCACTTCCAGTCACCAATAGTATTATTGTCCTTCTTGAAATCACAGATCTTTTTCCCTGAAAAGGGTGGCACACTCAATCGCTAGAATTGTCCGGTCACCACTTGGACAGCTCCCTCTCCTCTGCACCGAGTGGAATGTTGAACTTTGACAAAATAGGTAACATTTTTGAAACTCTGCCTCGGCAAGACTCCTGTATTACTCTGCAGCTCATGTTGTGTTGAACTCGAACAAAGTAAGTTGACACTTTAATTTCTGCCTGGTAATATTCACCGTTTCATTCTCCAGCACAACCAACTGTTGCATGCGAACAAAGGTAAGTTTAAACTGGGATTTCTGCCTGATAACATTTAACGTTCCACTCCCCAACGCAATATTGCAACAATTGTGCAATTGTTTACCATCCCCAGCCTCTCAGCAGTATAAGTTAGTTTTATCAGCAGGTCACAGTAAATTCTGGGTATGTCCGCCTCTTCCAACACGTCTGGTAAGTATGGAAGAGATCTTATATCGAGAGCTCCCCGATATTGGAGACTCTTCTGCCGTTAGTGGCAATGCACCAACCATTGCAGAGCTGTGCCTCGCTTTACGAACAAGATGCGTTCTGCAATCAAACGCATTAAACGATTGTTGTATTCCCATTGACTCTCGTGTTTAAAACCGAGATACGTTTCAGACCCAACATTTTCCTCTCCTCTTGAACAACTTTTTTTTAAAATGAGAAATACACGTCACTATATCATTTTAAAAATGAACTAATAACACATCAAATGTAACACTTACCACACACGAGAGAATCACAATGCAAAATCCATGTCTCGCCTATATCACCTGCGTACAGCCACGTTTGAAATCACTCACTCACTCACACACAACTCTCCACTCAATTACACAGCCCTGTCACTCTCTTTGGTTCTCTCATACACGTGTAGTGACATATGACGTCACTATTGTCGGGACTGTCCGAGCGTAGGGACATATGACGTCACTACTATGTCGGGGGCTGGAGGCGGGTGTCACGTGTCACGCCGTGGCACTCCGCGTGAATCCAACAGGACACGTGACCAGATAAAGGGGGGCCAGCTTGGGGGTCACGTGGTTGGGGGCCCGGACCTTCCCGAAGGATCGAGAAGGGGGGCGTGTCCTAGGGCGGAGCCGGCCACGCCAGGGTGGTTATAAGCGGAGTGTGAACATGGAACTGGGATTTCGATTTAAAGCTTTCGTGACTGCAGGGATTCATCTTCTTGGTTCTTTCGGTAAAGTCACGTAGAAGGGAAATAATAAAATAATACCAATAAAACATTTTAAAATACAATTCTCACGACGTTTCGCTCACAACGCAAGCAGCCGTCCTCAGGCGAAGAACCAAGAAGAGGGAGCTGGGATGTTCTACTCCGGGATGAAGATGCGATGAGAAGTCCTCAAGTGTCCGATCGTCGTTTTGACCAGGCATCCGTCACCTGCCCTGGGTCACGCTGTGTAGTGTTCCCCGAGTGTTCGTGAGATCAGGAAGGTGGTCACCACCTTATGTATAGTGTTCACGTGGGTGTTATGTCTTAATAAATAGTGTTGCCTCCAAGTCGCGTGTGCACCTCAATCGGACCCATTACACATGCACACAGACCTCCCCTCAAAGATCCCCCGTATAGCTCGTTATAGCGAATTCTCGATTCCTACACTTTGGAAAAAAACAATTACCAACGTACTGATTATTACCATTTAACAATCGTGGCTTGAATACAACACTAACCATATGACCAGCTCACCATCAGCGAGCCGGACCAATCAGTTTCTTTTGCGTGTTATAGGCTGGGCTCAGTGGCGGCTCCTGCAAAATCTCTCAGGGGGGGCAAATGTCTGGATGATTGATAAGGATAAGGTCCACCCATGCAATGGATAAATTAACAGCTTAAGCATGTAAAGGCAACTTCACTTCTTTAATATTAATGAAAAATAAAGTGACTCTTATAATACATCTTGTTTGTTTCTATACTCACTATTAAAACAAACCACTCAAGTTTATTTTATTAAAGATTCCACTAGGTGGCGATAAATTATATTGTTGGATGAAACGTGCTTACGTATGATGACGTAAGCACGTATGATGACGTAAGCACGTGAGGGCGAGCCCTCCCGGAAGCCATAGATAATGCATTGGAGCGCCCGCCGTTCGAAAAAAAACATCTTTGAATGTAAGTCTATGGGGCCACTCGGGGCGATTCTCAGCCGGAGTGAAATCGCCCAAAAAGAGGCGGTACTCCACAGAACGTGACATGACGCTGATTGGACTATATCCAGAGGCACAGTGACGGCTAGCGTGACTCTGTGGTTCAATGACATTGGTGGTGTGTCGCCCAATCGCCCTAATGAAGAAACCGCCCCTGGCTGGGCTACATGGTGGATAGCAAAGGACGGTGCAAGCAAAATTCACTTCTGTGATCCGCAAATCACGCTTCCCACACTTTTACAGCTCAACAAGGCTCTTTCACAACAGACGGCCGTCTTTTTTGAGAGATACTATTTTGAACAAGTTCCTCCCCTGAGTGTTTCAAACAACGTTGGGGAAAATTCATACCACATCGATAAAAAAACCTCCAGTCAGACAGGCACTTATATCGCCAAAAGGATGAACACTGAAACATAATAACTTATATCTGAAAGGCGCATTTCAACTGTAGATGCGCGATGTATGAAAAGCAGGAAACAAACACAACTGCGGTAATCGGTCGGATCTAGGATAGAAGGGCCAAGTTAAATAAGTGACTTTTCAAGACAGACTTAAATAGCTCTTCATAATTTTTATGTAAAGCTTTCGTGACTGCAGGGATTCATATTTTTGGTTCTTTCGGTAAAGTCATCACGTAGAAGGGAAGTAAAACAATAATAAAAATATAAAACAAAAATTCTCACGACGTTTCGACTGCAACACAAGCAATCATAATCAGGTGTAAAATCCACAGCAAGAAAATTAGAAAAAAGTGTCAAATTTTCTTGCTGTGGATTTCACACCTGATGACGATTGCTTGTGTTGCAGTCGAAACGTGAACATTTTAATTGTTTTATATTTGTATTATTGTATTATTTCCCTTCTACGTGACTTTACCGAAAGAGCCAATAATATAGCTCTTCATTATAAAGGTTTTTGGGTTAGATCGCGAAAGTATATATGTCTCGTAGCCCTCCATCACCCGACACAGCCAGTAAGGTTTGTCACGTAAACAACGCGACAATTTAGTTACTACTTCAGCCCACCGCTGTGTTGGAGAGTAAATCCACGACATTTACAATTCGAGTACGACGTTTCGCTGGTAATCAAATCCAGCAGCATTTATCTGACCTAACCCAAAAGCCTTTATTATGAATAATATTTGGTCGCGAAAGCCTTTAACAATTGACAAAAAACTTACCAGCGAGGCAAAGCATGGTCATATAACTCCCCCCCCCCGCCTCCACGGCGTGAGGAGGGCTTCATCCAACAGTGGATTGTCAAGGCGAATCGCATACAGTAAGACACGCAGACAATTCACCTGGTCTCGTCGACAAGGGACGCGATTATACGCACCGTTTACTCCGAATCCGGTTACAAATACTGCGCTGTTACAAACATGGAAGTTTCGTGTTATTCTTGCGGCTAACCATCCACAAACAATACAAAAAAAACACACCGACGGAGATTTCTTTTGGGTCGTTGCCACCCACACTGACCAGCGAACGGTGACGTGAGGAGGAAGAGGAGGAGGAGGCCGTCATCCGGGACTGCCAGCAAGGACCGAGAAGAAAGGCGGTGGGAACGCACACCGCAAGAGAGATTGCGACAGAGCGACACGCACATGCGCAACAACGCAGGCGTCCTCTTGCCATGGCCCCTTATCTCGTTCTCCTCATCCAGATGGACTTGGGACTAAACATAAGCCAGGAATTTGTAAACACACCGGCCCAAATTCGGGCTATGGGTCAACTTTTTTTTTTTTATGGGCTGTGCGGCAAACTGCATAGGGCAGTCCTCGACTTACGATTAGAATTCGTCCTTGAGGCCCGTCTGTAAATTCGGAGGATACCAGCTGTGACTAGGGAGGGAAGGGGAAATTAAGCGGTTGAAAAAAGCAGAGGAAGTGTGTTAACAGCGATAAGACTTGAGCTAGGAAATGGGTGTGCTGCAGACGCCGAGGCTCGAGAAGGCGAAAATGAATGTAGAGTGTAGGGTGATATATAGAAGACTTGGCGGGGATGAGGCGCAAGGGAAGAAATTAGGAAGTAGTCCTGCTTGGCTACTTCTAAGGTGGATAGAAAGCGGAATAGAAGGAAGTGACAGGATTTCTGAGGAGATGGGGAGGACTTCCATAGTTGTTCGGCTTTACGGAGAGAACAATGGTCATATTTGAGGAAGGGAGTCAACCATAAATGACGTCACGCAATTTTGGCCAATTTTTGACCCCTCCCCCCTCGTCACGCGGCGTCACAAAAAGTCAGACCCCCCTCAAAAAAATTCTTCCTGGGGAATTCCCATGCATTCCCAGGCCAGCTGAGCAACATTGTCCCGCCAGCATATCCTGGGCCGGCCCCCGGGGTGTTCGCCCAGTGGGACGTGGCTGGTAAAGTTCCAGGGGGAGTCTATCGGGGGGCATCCTTACCGGGTGCCCGAACCATCTCAACTGGTTCCTCTCAATCCGGAGGAGCAGCGACTCGACTCTGAGGCTCTCCCAGATTACTGAGTTCCTCACCCGATCACGGAGAGTGAGCCCAGGAACCCTGCGGAGAAACATCCTTTTGGTCCCTTGTAACCGCGATCTCACCCTGTCGGTCATGACCCAAAGCTCATGACTATAGGTGAGGGTGGGGATGTAGATTGACCTGTAAATCGAAAGATTTGTTCAAGGACTCAGCTCCCACTTCACTGCCACGGAATGGTACAGTGCCCGCAACACTGCAGACGCCGCACTGAACTGCCGGTCGATCTCCCACTTGCCATCAATCACGAAAAAGTTCCCGAGGTACTTAAATTCTTCCACTAAGGGTAGTTGTTCTCCCTCACCTGGAGAGAACAATTCACCATCTCCCAGGAGTGAACTGTGACCTCAGATCATCGACAAAAAGCAGCAATATCACCTCCATGCTTCCGTACTGAATAATTTCCATACATCGGTTGCGCCTTGATATCCTGCCCATGAAAATCTCAAACAGGAGTGGAGACAAGACGGACCCTTACCGGGTTGGCCCTCTCTCCTGTAAAGGATAAGCGCAGGGGCATTGAGCCGGTGGAGAAAGTCTCCTCTACGCTGGGGATATGTCGAGATAAATCCCCTTTCCTGCGCCTCTTCATAGAAGATCCCCGTTTTTGGGTAACCCCTCGTTGCAAATGGGAGGCTAATGAGATCAAGTGGCTCAGCTGAAGAGTGGTCGGACTAGAAACAGTCGGTGATCTCTTGTCTTAGGAGGGCAACCCGTTCTCTTTTGAACAGCTGCGAGCAAGATACAACATTCGACGGACGCATTTCTTTAGGTACTTACATATCAGAGATGCCATCACTAAAACCCCAGACAAGAATCTAGTCCACTCTGTACACCTGATAATATACTGGCTAAAGATACTGAAGGTGTGTAATACAGACTAGCAGAGGCATACCGCCTTGTGCATGTTAAGGGTTTTCAGACGAGGCTGACCACTCGGAAACTCTGGAACAGGCTTCTGAGCGAAGACATTTCCCGACATAAATGAATCCAAATCTGGCGGGCCCCTCTGGCTCAAGATCACTACCACGAAATCTCATCCAATTCACCGATATGACCAATGTCAGATGGTCCTCATTCCTACTGAGCCTGACGTGAGGTTCGCATGCAGGGAGGTTGGGGGGAGGATTGGTATTTCGGGTACCACCCCCTGGGATAGACAGGAGGTAATCACTGCTCTGCGGGACTTATACTGATGAGAAGTTGACTCGGTGTGTGTAGGTTATTTTGCTTGGTAGATTTTATAATGTGCACTTACCCCCTGCCTCCGCTATTTCTACCCCCTCCCCAACCCCACTCCTTTCCCCCCTTACTTTTGTTCCTCTTCCCTTGTCTTCCCTTCTCCATATGAAAACCTGTGTTCTCGCTCACAGTCCCTATGTGAGTGGGGAGCTGAGTCTCATCTTCTCCCCGTCCCTGAACCCAGGAGCACCTAAGTTCCGGCTTCAATCCGCGGATATTTCTGTAAATGAAACATTACGTCACTCGACCATTGTAGGGATATAGCAACACTGTCAAGGATGGATAACATAGTCTCCCAGTTGCTTCCTGCATGATGTCAAATTTGTTAACATGGATTTACGATTTCTTAAATTTAAAAGTTACCACAATTTGTATATTTTGTGAACGCGGAATTTCATCAAACCGAACATTCGTACTTCGAGGAATACCAATAATAGGTGGATAGGGTACATGGGGGGAGGTGGGTGAAGGGAGGGGTGGGTGGGTGGCGGTGCTAATTAATGACAGATGCTAATGAGGACTGGAAGACGCGACTCGTCTCGAATGCCCACATAATGGCTACGAACCCAGCAACCCTGGTTCAATTCCCAGCCATGGCTGTATGTTGAACTTCTTTCACACCGTACATAGCCAACCGTGACTATCAGAGCTGTGGGTGTACAACAGGCGTAACACTAAACGCAATCATCTTCTTGGTTCTTTCGGTAAAGTCACGTAGAAGGGAAGTAATAAAATAATAAAAATAAAACATGACATTTTTTTTATTATTTTATTACTTCCCTTCTACGTGACTTTACCAAAAGAACCAAGAAGATGAATCCCTGCAGTTACGAAAGCTTTAAATCGAAAATTAAAAGCAATTCGTTTTCAATCTAGAAGAGTGTTCCTGTCTGGCTCCTGGTGCTCTCTCCACCCACTAACATTCAACATAAATGCCAGACACCTGCAAGCACTGCGTTTCTTCATGGTGTGTGATAAGTGTTCCATTTGATGTTAAATGCTTTTGTTTTAAAAATTGTATTTGTATTTCTCACGTCAAGAGTGGAAAATGTTGGTGCTGAAGCGTGCCTCGGCCTTTAATAGGGGGGTTCAATGAGGAAACGATGATCGTTTAACGAGTTTTCTCTTACCGAACAATTTTCGCGAAACGCATCTCGCTCGATAAGCGAGACTCACCTGTATATGCATAATACTTTGTAGCAACATCGCTCCCTACTGGAAAATTTTGGTACGGCATGCCAAAAAAAGTTGAAAACTCAGTGAGGCTTTCCTTGATAAATAAGCGTAACGAAAATCATATGAAACAATGTAATTATAAAAATGTTTGAAAGTCCAATTACGACTGCAATATGTCTTCTCATTGGAAAGTCCTTGGCCTTCTTTACCAATGATGAGTAACAGAACGTTTCAATGGAAGTACTGTACGTTGCAATCTTAACGTGTGGAGTCTTAACAGCAGAGAAACGCTGACTTGTTAAAAACAAAAAAATGTCATGACGCCAGATGAAATACAACCTTGAAATGTACACATTACGATAAAACGAACCACATCGTCCTTTAGAGTTAAGACTTACAATGAAGAGAAATGCAGAGCAAACCGGCACTGCATAGAAATTAAACCAGTGGATTACTTTCGATTACCATGGTTAGCCATGTACGGTGCAAAAAAAGTTATACAAACATAACGTGTTATATTCCTAAAAAAAACACTAGTGGCATCGAGAGTAAACTTTGTTAGAAGGAATGTCGACTCATGGTCGAGAAAAATGACACGGTGGCAGGCAACTGGAGACAACACCACACTGACGATAAATATTGAAAGAATATCGTTATTTAAAAGTGACAACACCACACTGACGATAAATATTGAAAGAATATCGTTATTTAAAAGTTCAAATGTTCAACTTGTATCAATTTAAGGGATCATTTTCAATCGCTCCCCAATGAACAAACATTTTGTAATGGGCTGATTTTGTGGATAAACTAAGCCACAATATGCATCCATGTTTAAATAGCTTCACACCTCCGATTAGCACGGTTACCTATGTACGGTTCGAAAGATACTAGGAATAAATTTCGATTTAAAGCTTTCGTGACTGCAGGGATTCATCTTCTTGGTTCTTTTGGTAAAGTCACGTAGAAGGGAAGTAATAAAATAATAAAAATAAAACATTATAAAATAATTCTCACGATGTTTCGGCCACAACGCAAGCAGCCGTCCTCAGGTCTGTCGCCTCGACAGATCTGGTTTTCACCTGAGGACGGCTATTTGTGTTGTGGCCGAAACGTCGTGAGAATTATTTTATTATGTTTTATTTTAAATATTTTATTACTTCCCTTCTACGTGACTTTACTGAAAGAATCAAAAAGATACTAGGAATATTCATATAACATGGCATTGACAACCACCAAAATGGTACAGCTGGT